GTGTAACGCTCACACCGGTTCCCGGGCCACTCGATCGCAGCCGGGACGGTAATCGTGGAGGTTTTAGTCGGTTGTAGTCCCAACCGATAACACCCCCCAACAAAGCATTATAAACGTTATCGAAGACTTCAAAAAAAGTATACTACAAGCGTTAAAAGAACAACAAACGCAATATTAAATGAAATAAAAAAAACACTATCAACACACGAAGAAAGGATCAGCGCCATCTTTAGCAATTTTAATAGTGCGGGAGATAAATGCCACAATCCACTAAACCAACAATTACAGCAAAAAAACACATAAACTAAACTTAAAAAACCTGAAAATAATAGCAATAAATGCCAACTCTCTAATTTCAAACCAAAAAAGATACAGTATGCTAACCCTAATAAATAAAGAAACCCCCGACATCGTACTCGTCTCAGAAACAAAACTAAATAAAAAACACAAAGTACATTTCAAAAACTACTCCATGACAAGACACGACAGACCGAATGCCAGCCAAGGAGGAGGAACAGCAATCCTCATAAAAAACCCCATAAAACACAAAACAATTATAAATGGCAAAATAACAAATTTCAAAATCCTAGAAACAACGATCATAAAAATAAAAATAAGCAATAAGGAAAACTTGTTTATCACTGCAGCCTACGCATCCCTCGGAAACCAGAAAGAATTTAGCGACGAATTCAATAAACTTTTCGAACTCTTACAGCTCAATATAACGGAAAACTACTATATAATAGCAGGCGGCCTGAACGCAAAACATACGAGATGGAAAAACGAAACAAACGACACGAGAGGCAACTTCATTAGAAACAGGCTAGACAATAAAAGCATTCACTACAAAACAACCTTATACAGTTCCGAGCTACCCTCTTATCTAAAAGGACGCTCATATCTGGACATATGCCTAGCAGATGCACGAGTAAAATTTCAAAACCTACGTCCAGATAACACCCTCAAAACTTCAGCCTATGACAGTGACCATAACGCCCTAATATTTCACGTAAGCAAGAACACATCTGACCTCCTAACACTCGAAACACAGACCGAGATACCCAGGTACAACTACAAAAAGACAGACTGGAAAAAGTTCCAAAACATACTCGAACAAAACCTAAAGATCTACAACAACGTCAACCTAACAAACAGACAAATCGACTCATTCATAGACGAAATAGAAAAACATACATAAATCGCTCTCCAAAAATCTGTGCCAAACATAAAACAAAAAAATTCATGCGAGCCCTATATCAACAACAAAATAAAAGAGCTACATCGAGACAAAAGCTACATACTCTCCAAAATAAACAATATAAAATTTAACTATCCTTACGACAAAAGAGAAGAATTAGAATTCGTAAAGTACCTACTATACAAAATAAAAGCACAAATGAAACAAGAATTCGCAAACTCTATAAACCCTTACTGGACAAATAAAATAAAACACATCTCCAAAAACGACTCAGCCAACATGTTCCCACAAACAAATCAAATCTTCAGACCAAAAGGACAAAGCCCCATCCCACCTCTCAAATTGCCCTCAGAAGAAACCTCCCTCATCCAAGAAGCAGGTATAACAATACACAACACCACCAAAGACACCGAGGGTAACTTCATAATAACTAAAACAACAGAAAAACTAGACATCATCGGCATCCACTTTTCCAAAATAAATACACAAAACGAACACATGGGCCGAGA